TGCTTTCTTTCAAGAGCTTGAATATTTATTTCTCAACGCTCTGATATGGTTCAGATTTAGCCTTCATGAGTTGTAATAATGATGCATTTCTCCCAGACCCTAAGCCTTGAGGCAGAAATGATAAAATTAAGTTAGCATACACCCATAAAATGATACTTGTATAGTGATTTAGTTTACAAAATGCTTTCATACACAGTTACCTACCTAATTCTCACAACCACCCTACAAATTGGGCTGTTGACCCTATGGCAGCACAGCAGGAACACTGAGATTCAAAAAGGGTAGAATGATTTGCATAAAGTTATTCACAGCTTTAGAATGATAAATGTGAGTTCCTTTCTCATGTGTTTTAATGAGAATTCTATGGCAATTCTGTGTACAAAATGCTTTCAAGAGATTCAGCTGTTCCAAAAATGTTACTGGGAAGTGACCATTAGTTTAAGCCTATTGATTATGACTGTTTATAATTTGGTTCACATGCACACAAATGTACAGACACTCGTACATAATGCCAATAGTCATCCTGTTATACATGTAGTACAGTGTTTTCATTTTCTGTTATAACCTTTTTTATTGAATTATCGAACATGAACAGCTATAACCTTCAAATCTGTCATAACTCATTAATGGACCACAACCACAATTTGAGAAATACTGCAACAGAATAAAAGAAGAATAAAAAGTTTTGAAAAGATAGTCTAGTAGAAAGCTAAACACAAAAGTAAAAACAGGGTTGGGGAGATAGCTCAGTAGAATAAGCGCTTCCCTGGTAAGCGCAGAGTCCTGAGTTCAATCCCTGGTACTACAAAAGAAGAAAAAAAAAAGGAAAAACAATGTGAGACGTACTCAAATGAAAGTATTTTAAAGGTTGCAATTAATTTAATATTGGTGGTTTTCATTTATCCTTCTAAAAATATTATCCATATCAAAATAATAATGTGAGACAGACATAATAATGGCCTTAAGATAGGTACAGAAAAAAATGTATCAAGAAAGGTAGGAGGGGCTGGGGAGATGGCTCAGTGGAATAAGTGCTTCCCTGGCAAGCACAAGGGCCAGAGTTCAAACCCCAGTTGCGCCAAAAAAAAGGTAGGAAGAGAAAGGTACTTTAACCTAAGAGAATAAACCTAAAATAAAATAATTTAACAGCCTAATTATTATGAATTATTATTATTATGTTAGCTTTCTATTACTATAACAAAATACCTGAGATAAACAACTTATAAGGGGAAAGGTTATTTGAGTTCATTGTTTCAGAGGTTTTAGCCAATACATAGGCAGCTGCTTTTGGGGTTGTGACGAGGCAACTCATCATGATGAGGCACATGTGGCACAAGCAAGCTGTTCACCTCATGGCCACCAGGAAGTGAAAGAGGAAACGAAGAAACAGTCGGTTTGGAAGGGGAAGCGGAGGGTCCAAAGGTCCTCAGTCAGGATCCTCTGAAAGGAAATCGGAGTGCGGAGATGACAGAGGGAGCAATAACAGGAAGTGAAGACGGGAGTGATGCTGGGCCTTGAAGGCACTTGAAACACTTTCCTCTTAGGCAGATCGGAAGCCATCTTAAAGATTCTGAACAGAAGCCACAGACGATTTAACTTACATGTTAATAAAGCTGACTGCACAGTTCAATTCTACTGAAAATATACTGTGTCGTGAGGCAAGGATAGAGGAGAGAAACTAGTCAGAGGGTTCTTTCAGTCATCCAGATGAAAGCTGGCGTTGGTGGCAATGGAGGAGGTGTGCTTCACCACGCAGGATATGTTCTGAAGACTGAGTCAGGAGGATTTCCTGACACCAGATACGAAAAATGAGAGGAAAAAAGAAGAGTGAAGGACAATTCCAAGTTTTGACTTGAGTGACTAAAAGAATGGAGTTGGAATTAACTAAGTTGAAAAAAAAAGTGTAGAGGTAGAGTAGATTTGGGCATAAGCACTGAGGTTTTGACATGACGTATCTGAGTTGTAAAATAGCCAACCAAGTTACGATGTCAAGTTGAGAGCTGGATGCACAAGTCTAGAATGTAGAGTTGTGACCCAGGCTGGAGATACATACTTGGAGTTAATGGGACAAAGCTGGCATATAAAACAGTGACACTGGAAGCGCTCCCCACAGAAATTTGTAGATAAAGAGTGGAGCACATTCCAACTTAAGAGGTCAGGATGAAAAAAAATAACTAAGAAGTTCTGGCTGGTGAGGAGAGCGATGCACGACAGACTTGGTGTCCTAGAAACACTGTGGAGTATAAAGGAAAAGGGGGGTGATAAGCTGTGGTAGATGTGGTTGACAGTGGAGGACTGAGGATTTAAATTCCAGAAACTGCAACATACGGTCTCTTGAATCAGATTTTCTGGGTTTAATACTGGCCCCACTGTATGATCTCTCAGAAAGAGTTCAGCTTGCCTTGCCTCGCTCTGCTGATCTGAGAATCAGGGCTAATACAGGTATCAGTCTCATACGGATGTGAGGAAGATTACATTGGTCAGTGTCCTACACACGATACAGAAGAAAACTCCATGTAAGTGTTACAGGGGGTGGTGAAGGCAGAAATACTCATAGTATTAGTGGTAGTGATAAGAGTATTTCCAAAACCCTTGAGATAGTCTCATTTTAAAGTTAACACAATTGAGGTTCAATTAAAGCTATTTCGATTAGTAGCATCAAACAGGCTTCAACACAGAAGCCAATCACCTCCAGAAACCATAATCTTTCTGTTATACTGCTATACTGTCAAGCAGTATTACTTAAAGATTATCTTACCCTACTAGAAGGTGGGAAAGCCTGGGGTTGGATGCCCTTGCGGTCTCTAGCCTCAATGGAGAGGAAATAAAAACCAAAACTGTTTGAGAACCATCTGAGTATTGACCTGGTAAAGTGGTTTTAATTATCCCTAAGGGTCTGTGGAGTTTCAGGGTAACACCAACTTTGACAAAAGTTTGAAAAGATGAACACAGGGATTGGGGAGATAGCTCGGTAGTCTAAGTGCCTGCCTGGCAAATGCAGGGACCTAAGTTCTATCCCTGGTACCATATGCTGTGCCGGCCCTGAATCCCCAGCATGCTGTGCCAGTCCCGAAACTGGATATAGTGGCACATGCCTGTAATCCCAATACTGGAGAGGCTGTGACAGGAGGATCACTCCGAGTCTGAGCTATGTGGTGAGACCCTATTGCAAATAAGTAAATAAATGAATAAATCAATAAATTTTTGAAAGATGAATATACTATTAAGTTTCTTCGTTCTTTGCCTACTGTTACTAGCAAAAATTGTACCTGAACATTACTACTGAGATGGAAACGCAGACAGATATAAATATACTGTAGATAGATACATGATAGATAGATAGATAGATAGATAGATAGATAGATAGATAGATAGATAGACTGATTTTAGAATTTACATTGAATTCCAATTAGAATTGGAATTAGACTCTTGGGAGGCTATGAACAGAAGGATCACTATGAGTCCAATCTAGTAGTGGGACCCTGAACACCCTGTAGACCCTTCCTTAAAATACCAAAAAAAAAAAAAAAAAAAAAGGAATTAGAATTAGAATTTATCAAATTAGAATTCCAATTAAAATTTCCAATTAGCACCTGCTTAGGTAGACACAGTGGTCGGGGTTCAATCCCTGGCCTGCCATGCCAGCCCTACCCCCAGAGCACACTGAGATGGGGATGGAGACTGGGTGTGATGGCATGCACCTGTAATCCCAGCTCTTGGGAGGCTGAACACAGGCGGATCACTACAAGTCCAATCTATATAGTGAGACCCTGTAGACCCTGTACTAAATACAAAAAAAAGAAGAATTTCCAATTAGAATTTCCATGAGACAAAAAAAATACATGTTTATGAAACAAATAGAAATATAGTTCCCCTTTACTTGTCACCTTATAAAACAATGTGAGCAGATACTGAGGCAATGAGAGTTGAATCTCTTCCAACCTCAAACACTTCTTCTACCCTGAGCAATCAGTGCAGGTTGGCTGAGGAGAGTCTACTCTTTAAGACCCCTGTGAGCAGGTTTCCATCCACGGCTTCACATTATTCTCTATAACATTGTTTTCCAAATTAGTATCTATTCCTAACAATAACTCTGCTTACAGTTTTGCTTCCACCAGCCATTTCTGGCTCTAAACTTTCTTAAATGTCCTGCCAAAGGTGTGTTTGTCTAAGCAGCATGCACACAGAGACACACATACACATGCACACATGCACACACACATGCACACACACGTCAAGCAAAACTGTGTGAATACTTCTGGCAATCTATAATTCCAGCACTCCAGAAGGCTAGGGCAGAAGGGTCACAAGTTTGAGTGCCCCCTCGGCAGTTTAAGCAAGAATCTTTCTCAAAATAAGAAATTAAAATGGACTGGGATGTAACTAAGTGTGAAGGCCCTGGATTCAACCCCTAGGAATGCAAAAAAAGAAAAAAAAATCTATAAATGCATAAGCATGTTAACAGAGAACACAATGGTTAAACTGCCTGAACTTAAAGGTGGCCAAGACTTAGGGGAAGTTTTTTTTTTTTTTTTAATCTCTTGTCACTGTCTTATTAACTCAAAAAATGAAGATAAGGAGGATAAATACCTCACAGCTTTGTTGTGAAGACAGAGTAAGTTAAACTCATGTATATCGAAACATCACAGCATAGAATAAGTACTTCTCATTAGTTCTCGTATGGTGATGCAGATGGCAAGGCAGGGTGCTGCTGCTGGAGATAAGGATGGCTCAGACTTCTACCACCAACTGGCTAGATGAAATAAAGTAAGCCTCTCACTGTCTTGCTGCCTGTTTCATGATATGCAGAGTAAACAAGCTGAGTTTGAGTTAGAAAAATCTATAGGCATACTCTTAAAAGTAGCTAACTTCAAATGTTTGTAGTAGGAATTTTATCTTCAATTACTGAATTAAGTAAGAAATGAGCTAGTTTTTTATATCTATACATCAGTTACCTAAAGCATATCTAATTATTGTTCCATTCATTTTGTTTTTTACAGCTTCCAGCAAGAAGTACAGCCCTACTCCTGTAGTTACTGCGTCAGTCTGCCTCTTGGCCTATGTTATCATCAATTCCAAAAGCTGAGTGTAGAGGGATTGTGGGGCTCCTTTAAAATAAAAATGAAATGAAAACTTCTTTCTCCCTTTTTGGTAGAAATGGGAAATCATCCAAGAGAGATGATCTGCTCATACTCGTGCTGAGAGCAGCCTATAGCTTCCTCTTCGTTGCTTCTGCTTTGGCTTCTCTGCACCCGCCTGCCCACCAGGGCACCCCGAGTCCCCTGTGGGAGTCACTCAACCTGGTTATCATTTGATGCAGAGCTAGCTCTGTTCAGTGCCTAGAACTGGCCTGCAGCTCAGTCCTGAGCCACTCGGTACAGTTCTGCTCCCTGAACAGAGTTGTATGCTAAAAAAGAAAATTGCCCAATGATAGCCTATGATATAGCATCATGATGCTTTTTTTAGACCTAGTCTGGAGAGCAGGTTGGGACCCTTTCTTTGCAATAGAGATACACAAATGCAGGATGTGAGCTGACAGTTGCTAGTAGCTATCTTACCGCTGGGAGAATAGAGCCTACCTCCCTGAGAAACAGGGAGTAACACAAGGAGGCAAGAGCTGAGAAGTGAGAAGAAACTGACACCCACTGACAGTGGGTAAAACAGTGCTCCTCAATAATATTTATTCTGTGCAGTAAGAAAATACAACTGTCTTAAGATAAGACAAGCAACAGACTTGTCTAATCTAGCTAATGTAGCCATTAAGGTTAAAGACACATGATATATTTTCCATAGCTACTAACCTAGTTCATATAAAATAACTTTCCTGAAATCCAAACTCCTATATATTATCACAGAATTTAAAAAATAAAAAACTTCAGTGATTCAACATTGTTTAGCGAATACGACTTCCTAGTATAGCACCAAAGTCTAGCTGCAAGCTGTTCTCAACTTTTTACTACTTACTTTCCCTAATCGTCATACATGAACCAGGAGAGTAGCGTCAGTTAGTGCCCTAAAGACACTCTATAGATTTGCATTCAGTTCTTTTGCTCAGTGCTCCTCCTATCTGCATCATCTCCTCTGTATTCCGCACCTTCATGCACCCTACTTATCATCTGTATCTAGCTCATGGTGGGTCCCTAGAATATATCAAGGGCAACAGATCCATTGAAGCAAAAGTGAAAAGCTCCATCTTCACATAGTCATTCTTTAGGACCACAGGACAGCAGCGTTAGCTCTTACAACTGTCTTAGTGCACATCTGCTCTGTATCTTCCACCTACCACTCTCCCAACCCAACTAGGAGATATTGCTATTAATATGAGAACTGCTCACTTTTGCCTTTTATCAGCCACAAGGCCACACGCTCTACATACGTGATCTCATTTGGCCCTTACGCTAATTCACAGGTTAGGAATTCATCAATGTTGAAAGATTTAAAAGAGCTTAAGTGACTTTCCCAGAGCTACATGATCAGTAAATAGTCCTTCTGGTACACAAAACCAGGACCATCTTAATCTAAACCCAGGGACCTTTCCACTGTGCTATAGGTGCTGCTCAGCGGTTGTCCTGATTTTGAGGTATTTTTGCTCCAGAGGAATTATTAGTGATTAGGACCACCATCATTAGGAAAGAGAAGGAAACAACCTAAGCTTTAGAGGGAAGGATTATAACTCATCTTTAAACATTCTATTTTATTTATTTTATTTTATTTTTACTTCTTTTTTTCCATAATTTTATTGAGAGACAAATAGCAATGAGACAGTTTCAAATCAAATTGGTAGGACAGTTTCAATAATTAACACATTGCATACATTCTTCCTAGTGATTAATTGCTGTACAAGATGCGGACATGATATCGTATTTACAAATACTGTTACAACAAATCCCTCTATTCATTAAGAGAATGTAACTATATATCCTAACCATTTTGAATATACAGATACAAGATGGTCATTCATCTGTATCCCCTTTTTTGTTTAGTTGTGTCATTTGAATATTATAGGTGTGTTAACTCAGCAAAATATTCTAAAAGAGTCCAGTAGTCCATAATAGTATTGGGTCTTCCTCTTGACTGGCAGGGTCAGAAATTGTTGACCTGAGTTCCCTACAGCTCAACATAACAGCATGGCTTAACTTCTTATACTTCGATTTTCTACTTTTCTGCTGGATGGTTAAGACCAAGATAAAGCAAGACCTATGCAACAAGAGTTGCAGCTTTTGGGTCTGATAAGGTCAGTGAAATCCCCTCAGGATTTATCCTGAGATCCTGTACCTCAGATTGTAGATCCTTTGTCAGTGTCAGCCATGTGGATGAGTCACGGCCATTGCTTGGTCAATGTGCTCTCTGTGAAAGCCTGAGAGAGTGTTCTCTCTCCGTGTGACTCTCCTTAGGCACACTGTACATCATCGATCACTTTCCTCTTTGGCCCCATAATCTCCTTGATCAGAAAATTTGGGACACTAAGACATTTTATACTGTGAGCAGAATTCACCAAAATAAAAAGAGAACTAATGATAAAAAGCAAAACTCCTACTAGAAAGAAGACTAAAATGTTTTTTAAAGACACATTTGGCTATATCTGAATTTATATCTTTTGAAAACCAAAACAATGCAACTAGCAGATGAAGGTATAAATGCATGGCAACTAATAGAAAACTACTATGTGAAATACTCAACAAGGTAAAGCCCAAAAGCTCAGAGCCGCCACACACAAGCCACCTTCCCTCCTGAATTGAATTAGTTCACTGAGGAAGCACCTTTAAACAATGGAAATTCCATAAAATGACAGAAATTTTAAAAATAAATTTTATCACTTTTTTAGTCTTTCAAGTCACACTACTGAACATAAACTAAATTTATACAAATCCAAGAAATAGAAGAAATCTGAGGACCAAGCTATGCAGAAATAGCCCATAAGCCAGACAGGCAGAGGGACCCAGCAGAGACCAGCAAAGCCTGAACGTCAGCACATTCCACCAGAAACACCCAGATGGAACCAGACGAAAAGGCACTTCAACAATACCCGTGAACAACTGTTGAAACTCCAAGCTCACAAACACGGAGAGGTAAGTAACGTGGATATTTCTGTTTGTATTTATATAGTACTCTGTCACCATAAAAGGCAAAATGTCAGTCTTGAATCTTAGCCATCAATGAAATAGTAGTTTTATTATGAGGATACTGTTGTGTGTGTGTGTGTGTGTGTGTGTGTGTGTGTGATTATTTCTCTGAAGATAACAAGAAAAGCAGCAACTTCTAAGACTGAGACAGCGGAAGCAAAGCTTAGAATTAGAAAAACTGAAGCATGAAATGACCTGTGTGTGGATCTGTGTTGTTTATATGGATGGTGTCATCTCCATCTATGTCATTAACATTAAGAGAGGCACTGAATCTCTCTGAAAAAGGGCATGTGGCTCGCACTTATGAGTTTACCCTCATTCATAAGTTAAATTATATTTGAATATGCTAGGTATTTGCTGTGTGTCTCCAAATAGCTTCATTATCTTTTGGAAGGTAAGGAGTACTCCTTTTTTTCCCTCCCTCCTAGATGCTTCAAGGTACATAACAGAAGGTTCACAAGTGAACATTTGATAAATGCTGATAAGTAACCTTGATATGTCACTTTCTGGTGTCAGGTAGTACTACTTTCTGGTTGAAAACTAGAACAAAATCATATAAAAATTAACTTTTAAAAACTTAAAGTCTATGGTTTAGGTTAGTAGTAAATAAAGCTCAGAACTAGGCAGTAAGTGTTATTTTTCTCCTGCAAGATTTGCAGTTAAAACGCTACACTATTTCCATATTCCCAACAAAACAAACTTTGCATGATTCAAGGACAGTGAGGAACAGGAGAGCAGAGGGGAACGTAGAGAGCACTAGTGAGAATGCCTGGCCTTCAGAGACTGAAGGCTATTGTTCTGGTTTTCTTCTTTTAATAGTTATTATGGGGAAAAATCAAATAAACCTAAAACCAGAGACAACGATATAATAGTTCCATGTGCCCATAACCCAGTTTGAAAATGTATCAAAACAAGGCCAATCTTACTCTGTTATCCTTCCCTACTATTGTTTCCACATTATTTGGAAGTAAATCTCAGATGCTAAAATGCTTCCTCTTCAACATATGTAGTGTGTAGCTCTAATAACACAAGGACACCTCTTTCTTAAATTAACCTTATATTCCCCCAAATCAACAATATTTCAGGGCAGGGGAGATAGCTCAGTGGAATAAGGAATTCCCTGGTAAACGCAAAGCCCTGAGTTCAATCCCTGGTTCTGCAATAAATAAATAAATAAATAAATAAATAAATAAATAAATATCAATCCCTGGTTCTGCCAAAATAAATAAATAAATAAGTAAATAAAGTTAAAAAATATTTCAATAGGATCATCTTTGCCTTTGAAGGACACCCAGTATCTTGCTGTAAAAATTTATTTTTGATTTGAAGCATATACCAAAAGCAATAAAAAATTAATTATGTAGTTCTACTTATTTATCCTTTATTCAGGTAACAGAGGGAGAAAATATCAACTTGTATTAAAGTTCTCATTAGAACATTATCTGTGGTAATGAAACAATTAAATGATTAGTATAAAGATATGGTATAGTTTATGTAACCAATAAAATATTTATAAAACTGGTATTTAAGTGAACTTTATTTACACTAACACTAATGCTACCTTATTAAGATAGTTACACATGCAAACAAATTTTAGAAAGCCAAATTTTATAAAAGCATTCAATCAAAAGAAAAATAATTAAAATGATAGCTTTCAGGCACTTTTTCTCCTCTACTTTAAAAAATCTAAGGGACCAGGGAGATGGCTCAGTAGGTTAAGTGCTTCCCTGGCAAGCACAAGAGCCTGAGTTCAATCCCTGGTTGCACAAAA